CATTTCATAAAATTCGCCGCCATTGCTGCCCTAATTATCACGTGACCAGCGAGAATTTAGGTTCGGATACCTTTGCATGACATTTGGTGACCCGTGACCCAAATGCTATTTTTAATTGAAAACATGGCTTTGCAATTATAAATAACGGTGTATTTATTCAATAACAGGCATTGTACCAAAAACATGTTAGATTTATATTGTTTTAAGTGATGATTCATGAATTATTTGTTTGTTTTCATATAAAATCATACACTTACTAAAAATAGTGTATGGTCCGTTACTAAAAATAGATGCTAGAATTCCCAAAACTTGAAGTCCCGCGAGATCTTATTTGAAAGCAGACACCATATTGGTAAACATTCTCTACATATTTCCCTAACACATAGTTGGGTACACAATGTCATTGAAGTTTCATTTAAAAAACAAAACATGAATTTATTTAAAATTGATTTGTTTATCAAATGGTATTTTTATTTGACCCAGATTTGATTAATAAGGGTGATTTTAATAGGTTTTTATGTACGGCGCACGAACTGCCAAATTCTGGTAGCCTTTGCAAATAAGGTTGACCCATAACTTTACTGTCGCAACGTCAAAATAAAAGCGACATATAAAGTTATGGAAGCCAGAACTAATACTGTGCAAATGTATTTTAACCTTTAATCATTCATACAAAACTGTTTACATGTAGATTAAATATTAACACACCGGATTAAACGGTGTCTCTTTAACATTTTGATGCGATTGGCACAATATTACATGGACGATTAAGTGGGTCAACTAGAGTCTCCTTGTGAAAGAAAACACACAAGTTAATATTTGGTATAAGTTCTAGTTATGCTCAATAGTTACACTTTATTTCGTGTAGGAAAACACATTTAAGTCTTATTTTGGTGTAATTACATTGTCTAAAGTTTAGATATTTGAGCCTTTTTGGCCTCTATAAATTGTTCCATGTGGCAAAGCATTCTTCTGATTTTTTTAAATTGTCTTAAATTGAACATTCAAGCATTGAACGTATATCATTCCCGAATGGAAATCGAAGAACCCCAAAATATCAAGTTCAAAATTGTGTCTTGTAAGGAAATAAATTAATCTCTGTGAAACGTTATCTATCCTAAAATAATACACGATTAAATACAGGTTAAGCATATTCAAGTTTTCTCTAGTTGGTTTCTTTTAATTAATGCTGCCCTTACTTGTCGATCTTGTTTTTTTTTAAATATTTTTTGAATGATGACATAGCATTATTGATGTTTATATAATAGGAAAACCAATCTATGTAATTGTATTTTAGGCGGCATTAGATTGTGTACCGACTACGACCTGCAGGGCTGTCCGTGCATTACCATCTGATCATAATCTGTTGTTTTCGCTATTTAGTCAGTTAAAAGTTAATGATTTTTTCCTTAAAGTAATCATTATTTTTTTGAAATACTTGTCTCGATTGGAAGATGGACGAGTCCATTTAAGACAATCGGCGTTGTTATTCCGATAGGCACGTTAACTGAAACGAGAGAATGTGAGAATGTTCGTTACGTAAATATCTTCCCATATTACATAATCAATAAGCAACTGATACCAGTTTATCCGTGTGTCATTAGCGACATTGTTACGGTATGGTTATAGAATTTAAACCTGTTTTTGCTAAAAGACGGCAATAAACTGTTGGGTTTTTTTATGTACATGTTGAATCACCCTTAGGATATGTTGCCTGCTTTTTAAATTTGTCTTTTGACGTCTTATCTGTGATACGCAGGCTTCATAACCTCTGATCCCCTTTCAAAATTCCATTTTATTTAGTTCCGCCCATTGTTTTCTCGTTTAGGGCACACGCCTTTTATTACTTGGGGACCATACGCCGCTTTTCATGGAATGGCACGGAAGTGTCACATTGAAGGTTCCATGATGACCGCCGTTTGAACACATACATCTGCGGATGTTTCTAAATTCAAAATTTTACTATTTCACGTTTAAATGTTGAATTCTGCTTAAGCCGGTGCTACGGGGCGTGGACGGTAACCTTCACTTTCCAGTACCGTCCATGAACAGGCTCAATCAAACCGAGCCTGCAACATTTTCAATTTTGCCGTGTTGGGCTTTCTTTAGGGATTCTGTATTTATCTATTCGCAGATCGAAAGAAAAAGAGATTGTTAATGAATTTTATGAGGAAATTATAGACGTTTTCTGTTTATTTCGTAGGAATCGACCAGAAATCGTGTTTGTATCCATGAATAGATTGGACGTCGAAAACGACATGGATTGAAAATATTGGCATTTTGTGAAACTTTTACTCATTTCTTTGATATTTAAAGAATTTTAATGAAGCGTTAACGCTTGGATTGATCATTTAAAATGTCGACCAGAAATAGATGCAGCAGTGTTCTTGTTTGTCCAGCATAATGTTTTTGTTCTGTTGGAGACCTTATATCTTATTATAGTATGTAGCCCATATAAAATTTTAAAAAGTTTGTTTCAAGCACCTGTGGTTCTAGTATGAGGTTACCAGATAATGCATCAATTTTTACCGCAGAAGCAAAAGCTATAGATTTAGCATTGTCATACATAGTACAGCATACCCATGATAAATTTGTGATATTTTCTGACTCGCTTTCTGTTTTGATTTCCATTAAAAATAAAAAATCTGACAATCTTTTACGATTTCAGGATGTACTTAAAACAAAACCTGTTAAATTATATTGGATTCCAAGTCATGTAGGTATACGAGGAAATGAAAAAGTAGATGCTTTAGCTAAACAATCATGAAATTTTCAACAAACTAAATTATTGTTATAAGACCGGCTATAAACAAACTCGTGGACGGTAACTTGCACTTTCCAGTACCGTCCATGAACAGGCTCAATCAAACCGAGCCTGCAACATTTTCAATTTTGTCATGTTCGGCTTTCTTTAGGGATTCTATATTCTCTATTTTATTGTCACATCCGTGTTATTTGTAGCGTGTGGCGGCTGTAAAAAGTCTCCCCGTACATTTAATCAATGATGTTATATTTTCGACCCTTGAGGATCGTTCGGCACGACAGTTTTGTTGTGTATACATGTTATGTGGTACTTTTAGTTTCTGCTATTTGGCCTCTTTAAACTTGGGTGGTTCCAGATTTCCTACTTGAATACTGTATAATCACCCTTAGGATATGTTGCCTGCTTTTTACATTTGTCTTTTGACGTCTTGTCTGTGATATGCAGGCTTGCATATCACAGGGGGGGTATCATGTGGGGGTTGCGTTCATTGAACGCCACCTTTCCTTGTTGGTCTTGTTTATCATATTTCATAACCTCAGATCCTCTTTCAAAATTCCATTTTATTAAGTTTCGCCCATTGTTTTCTCATTTAGGGCACACGCATTCTTTTACTTGGGGACCATACACCGCTTTTCATGGAATGACACTACTGTGTCACATTGAAGGTTCCATGATAATCGCAGTATGAACACCACATCTCCGGATGTCTCTAAATTCCAAATTTCACCATTTTTCGTGTTCAAATGTTGAGTACCGCTCAAGCCTGTGCTAGGGGGCGTGAGGGATGTTGCACTTATACATTTTCCCTCATGTACAGACTCAATCAAACCGAGTCTGCAATTCTTATGTTATTTTGTTGTGATTAATGCTTCCGAGGGATCACTTTGTTTCCAGAATTTTGTACTTCACAACAGCAGGTGTCAAGTGCCGTGTGGCAGCCGTAAAAGGTTGCCCCGTACTTCACTTAAGTGTTGTTATATTTTCTGGTTCTTCGGGATTATTGATGCCAACACTATAAAGTGTTGAGAATTGAGTACCGCTCAAGCCGGTGCTAGGGGGCGTGAGGGATGTTGCACTTATACATTATCCCTCATGTACAGACTCAATCAAACCGAGTCTGCAATTCTTATGTTATTTTGTTGTGATTAATGCTTCCGAGGGATCACTTTGTTTCCAGAATTTTGCACTTTCCAGTACCGTCCATAAACAGGCCCCATCAAACCGAGCCTGCAACATTTTCAATTTTGTCGTATTGGGCTTTCTTTAGGGATTCTGTATTTTCTATTCTATTTCATATCATCTGAATGGAAAGCAAAATGGGACAATGCCGTTTTTTATAAACTTAACGATATAAACCCTTCTCTTGATGTGTCACCATCTCTATCTCTGTCAAACCGCCGTGATCAATCAGTTCTTCTTTAATTTTACTGTCAACTATTTTCTTCTTGAATGTCATGATTTTTCACAGGCCCGTAATAGATTTTATCGTATAAACTCACTCAACGAACTCTTTAATACAATTCCATAAAAAAACATTGTTTTTTGAAAGAAATAAACAAATTAACACAGGACAGGGCAGAAGGCAGCATAGAAGGGTTGAATACTATTATTATACGTGTACTCTAGGATCTCATTTTTATTGTCATTTACAAAACATTACATAACATTTTAAGCCTATTACATCATTCGGCACGATATGGCCAGTTATGTGTTGACGTGCCGTAAAAATCCAAACAAACAAACAAATATTATTAGTTATAAAAATTTTGACAGGTTTATTGGCCACATATTAACGGTTGTTTGCAATATAACCCGGGCTGCCGGATAATAATAGGCACAGCGGTTTATATAGGGCAAAATAACCTGTCAAAAAATTTATAACGAATTTATAATAAAATTTATAATACAGCAGAATAAGCATAAAAAAATGGGAAAAAACACTTCCTCAAAAATTGACAGCAACCTCGTATATAAAATTATGCATATATAAATGTCATTTTACAAGTAAAGGCGACGTTACAAACGTGCAGTATTATAATCAATACACCAGTGATCAAATTTGTAAAGGTTTATAGGTTGCGATTTCAAATAGTCCAAAGAAAATTCCGATACAAGTTTATTTTGCTATTAACCTAAAATTTACCATTTGCTGGCTAATTTGTATACCCATTGCATTTAATTCCTTTGTTAATTTGTCAACCATGCTCTTGATCATGGTTCACTGAATTGGTAGTACACCTATATAGATATACCACTTCATTAAAAAATACTATATAACATTTAAAAGCTAAGGAAGGTAACTGAACTTTAAACAATAACGTAGGAATTCTGATGATTTTATTTCAAGTTTCACACGGACTTTACTAACAAGGAAGTAAATTATTTTACAAAATAGAATAGGAAAAAGTACTGATTTACAATCCGAGGATGTTTATTTAAGTTCTAGCTGGGTAAAGAATATGTAAGTTATGTTTTTGTTCTGGATAGAAATGTATATCAATCGGTACGTTAATTAAAAAGGTGTAAAACAATGGTACAAAAGTCATACTTTAGCTTCGATTTCGGTATTTACACTCTAAAAAAATTAGTCTTTAACTCGTACTGATATTTTTAACAATAAACATTTTTATCAAGGCATTTTATCTTATAAATATACAGGTCTAAATGTTTTAGACTATATGAAGATCGATTTTTATCTTAAAAAAAGTTGATAATTACTTTTAATGTATTTTCGATTTCATTTTTTGTTAATATTTATTTATTTCTATTATTCGCTCACCAGAACCGAAGGTTCAGGGTGAGCTATTAGTATCAAGGGGGGGGGGGGGGGGGGGGTGGAAGTGCTCCGTCGTCATGTGTCTTCTCTGAAAATGCTGGACAGATTTACTTCAAATTTGGTCTGTAGCATCCTTGTGACAGTCACACTTGAATTTGCTCATGTCATTTAAATTTGCCCCTTTAAGGGGTCAACAAAGCTAAAAATAGAGAAACCTTTAAACATCTACTTAAGAACTAATGTGAGAGAGTATAACGGGATGGGTAAAATATTGAAAGCAGGTAAGCCAAATATTACAACAACAAAAATCATGTAATATAGAAATGCATTGCAGGGGAAATTTTCTATCTGGGAATAATCATATGGAAAACAGATCTTCATTTGAAAATGACGGACAAGACTACAGGCCCAAAACCAGTGGGTCTACCAGAAAACCACCGTGTAGACCACCGCCACCATCGTCTAATAGACAACCGAAAAGATCCGGTCAAACTGATGACATCATCGAAAGTATAGACAATCATCTTACAGTATTGCAAACTAGTGTCCGTACATTGCGCGGAAACAATTCTGAAGAGGTACAACGTCAACTCTATAAAATGATGTCTGACACTGAAAAAGATCTGGACTGTATAAATCAACAAATGCAACATAGTAAGGTATGGTATTTTATAAGTTTATAACATTCTATACAACAAAAAGTGATACTTTTATCTAAGGATTTGTTAAGATTTGTGTATGTATATTATTCTCTGTGTGTTTACTTCTAAAAGTTAATTAAAAAATATTGTGTTCTAAATATATTTTTATTGAGTTTGCCCATTATGGAAAATCATGGAATTTAAAACTATGGAAATGTATAAATTATAGTATACATAATTGTATATGTTACTATAAAATTGTAAAATAGAAATATGTTTATATTAATTTACTGTATTCATCATTAATAGTTATATTCAAAATCCTATAACTAATGTCCAGTGCAACATTTGTTTCGTACGTTCGATTCCCAAAAACATTCAAAGCAGTTCTCAAACAAGTATGCCATCTTTAATATTGTTTAATTAAAATATTATTCTGTTATGTCTTATGATCTTATCATCTTTATATTAAGTTAATTAACAAAATTGCTTTAAGGTATGAGCCGCCTAATGGGCACAATAGGGAACTATAGAAATTACAACCTGGGCCCTTAATATACCTTAAAAGACACCTGTATGCAAAATTCAAACAACGTTTACCGTATTTATGAGTTCTAGAAATTTTTCTTAACGAAAACTTGTCTATAAGAAGGGCTCTTTTTCAGAATTGAGAAACAATCAATAATCTATAATATAATCATTATGAAAAAAATGTTTTCCTAGAACATTTTTAAGAAACAAGTAATAGCATTCACCTAACAAATGACAAGAGCAAAATTATTGTTTCTACTCAAATTGTTTGAAATATGTATAAAAAGGTTACGCTACCTCACCCGTTTTAAATAGTTGTTTGACCATTTTCCTACTTGGCGGGCCTTATTCAAAATATCCCTTAAATTTACCGAACTGAGAGGCTGTTTTCAAAATTTGTAACAATTTTCTTCAAAGTATATGGTTGAGTTTGTCAAATATAAAATATTTTACCGTCTAGTTTGTATTTCATTAGACTTTGAAAATATCAGAAACCATATTTTATAATAAATTTGGCACAATTTAGCCAAAAAAAGACCGATAATATTTTTTTTATTAAAACGAAACAATTTTTTTACCTAGAGTGAACCGAGAAACATATACATAATGTTCAAAGAAAAAAAAAGAAAGAATTTTTTTTTCCTCTTCTGGGGCTTGAACCCATGCCCATCAGTTTCAATGCAGTTGACAGTAGTTATCGCCTATTTGAATATTCTTCAATAAGTGATGGTAATTAGGTGGGTCATACCTTAAAGAAAGCATCAACTTCTCAAACAAATGATAATTATCAAATTTAACAAAATTTAGAATGACGGAGATTCAAACGAAGAAGTGTTGCAAGCAGTATTGAAACAAAACGAGATTCTTAAAGAGAGAAACAAAAAACTAGAATCCGAGGTATTAAAAAGCAATAAAATAATTCAACAACTTCAGTCGGAAAATTCAGAGTATACTTCACAGCTACGGTCTCTTAAAGTAGAGAAAGAAGATTTACTTTTGCGGTAGGTGTGATTATTAGAAATCTAGATATCCAAATTATAAGTTTTCAACCTTATACATACATTCTTGATAGCGACCAATTGAGTAATTTACAGTTTTATTAATTTACAATCATAATCAGAATAACAAGTTAATTCACTTTTAGAACGTTTTGGCTCAGTACCTTCCAAAACATTGATCGGCAACTTTAAAGAAATAAACCTGTATTCTAGGATTTAACTAACACATTTGTACTAACACCTTTTTTACCTTTAATAAGGTTATATAAATCTTATTTCAACAAGAGCAATATGGCCCGTTTTTTGTCATTGTGCCGTGAAACTCATAAAAAGAAAGAGACAAACAAATAAAAACGTATCATCTCAGTGATTATGTTTTCTTTTGGTATTCTTACTTTTAGACAAAGCCCACACCGTTTGAAGAGTGAATATTTTAAACTGGTAGTAGCCGGTATGACTTTATTATGTCTGTCATATACTATATTTGATAAAATCGAGTTATTGATGTTCCTGCCTTCTTTAGTTTTCATAGCCTTCAAGAACTTTTACAGTTTTACACAAGCATATAGAAACAAATTCAATATCTGATATTGTTTATATTTCAAGTTTTTGCTTTCATTTTTTTTATCGTGGAATAAAAATACCATAAAATTTAAATGTAATTGGATAAAGCCCCTTTAGAAACTTATTTCGCTTAACATTATAATTTTGTATAATTTATTATATTCATTGAAGATATTCAATTTTCTCCCTTCAGTAAAATATTTTAAACACATAAATTTGTTGAAATCTTTAAAATTTCTTCCAAATATGTCTTTTTTAAATAAAAGAATGAATAAATTATGTATGGAAAGCTGCGATCCCTATTACATGTCAAGTTAAGTTTGAAATTTTAAAAAAACTCACATCTATAAAAACATGTTTATTTTGAAAATACAAAGAAACTGTGAAGCAATGATCGTTTTTTATTATCAAATTTGAGCATAGTATATCTTTAATTAGCAAATAGTATTTTACTTTTCTTCGAATAAATTTAAGACTGAGCAAATTAACCATCGCGGACTTAAGCGATCGAAATCGTCCGACCAAGCTTGGTGAATTACACAGTGAAATTTATGACAATGAATGGACTGATGCTTTTGAAGCTTTACAAGCTGCCAGATGTACCGAAGAATTTGCAATAGAAACTCTACATTTAACTCTTATTGTAAGAATTTAAGTTATTTTCGATTTTACTAAAGCGTGTGTCTTAACATCTATTCAATTTTCTAACAAGTATACAGGTATTTTTCGACAAACATGCATGTTTCAGCTATGTGCTTCACATACATACGAACGAGGACCGGTGATTAAAACATATTAGTTCTAAGCAGTACTTCGGATAAAATATTCATTAGTTCCTTTGAATTTTTGATCTTTTCATATAAAAGAAACTTTATAATCTATGTGGGTCAGCATGAATAACAAAATATAATTTAATCAAAGTCTGGTTCGGATATTTTCGTCCATTTTCGTAAAGCAAAAATAAGATTTTCAAAGTATAGCTAACTGTCAAAAAGAGGTCAAAAATATTGCTTAATTAATTTAGAAACGTGTAGTGTCAATCAAACCTTTCTTTAAATATCCCTTTTGATCTTATTTCAGAACGTTTTCGATTTTTGCAAAAGTAAATCCGAATGTATGTTGTTGAAAACAGAAGATGCTGTAAACTTCCTGTTTGAAGAATATAGGCTTTTACAACAAACACATGTAAGCGTTTGTATTTCCTTCTTACACATCTGCGGATGTTTCAATATTCTACATTTTACCAGTTCATGTTAAATGTTGAATTCTGTTTAAGCCGGTGCTAGGGGGCGTGGGCGGTAGTTTGCATTTGACAGTACCGTTCATGAACAGGCTCTATCAAACCGAGCCTGAAACATTTTCTATTTTGCCGCGTTGGGCTTTCTTTAGGGATTCTTACTTCACTCTATTTTACATTTTAAAGTTTTATTTTGAAATACACAAGACAGACTGAATGCTCTTTACAATTTCTATTGATAGCATCTTGTCTTTATCTGGAACTATATGATCAATAAATATAAAATTGTCAGTGTTAAAAATAAAATACAGTTTTTATAAGCCAACGTTAGTGATTGTGAAAGATTTATTTTCAGTTTTATTTCCTGTCATTGTTATCTCTTCTTCTTTTTTTAATGATAACTGCTTAGTTATTTACAGAATTGATTAAACTCTTAAACGCTACAATTCTTCAATGGACTGATTCCTTTTCTAGACAAGACCACTTGCATAAGTATGGAAAATGTCAAAACAAATACTGACTGAACAGCAAACAGTGCATAACTGATCGTTAATAACCTCATAAGCATTTACATTTCGTAGATGTCACATGTTTACATTGTTGTTGTTGTTGTTTCAGAGAGCCCCGCATATGTCAATGCCAGTTAAGAGGGTAAGAATAAATAAAGTACTGGTTAATTTAATACATACTAAATTATGCTATTTTAAAGGTCTGTTTACAATATTTACAAATCTTTTGGGTACCTTTGACTTGACTGGGAATACCAACTGACGACAACTAAATGTATAGACTTTACCCCTATCAAATCATTAACATTTCTTCTGAGAAATGGACATCGGCATGTATATCATTATTTTGATACAACAAAGTTTTGAAATATTCAAATTTGATGAGGTTTTTATTTATTAATTTACCGAACAAAATTAGTTTTATATAACTGAATCTTAATATTAAGAATAAAGACGTTTGTTAAATTTTGTTGAAATTTTGCTAAATTAACTTTTGATATTGTTTCAATTTTTTACAGATTTCCGGTAAGAAGCTTCCTTCTAAGTTTGAGAATGATGTTATGCTTTACAAACGATGGCAAGATTATTTTCCAAAAAGAAACAATGCAATCGGAAATCGCATGAAGGTTTAATGTTTTGATTATTGTCCATCTATAACAGTATTACAAGCATAATTTTTTGTAAAGATAGTGCCTATAAAGTCAACTAAACAGTAGGCATAGAGAAATTATTTTCACTCAAATGGCATCATATTTCATTACAAAAATACAGAATAAGGAAAACGAAGTCTATAAATGAAAGACATGTATCAAGAAAAAGAGGGTGGTGACAAGTCAGAAAGTTACCAGAGGGCTTCACTATTGTTTCATAAACAAGCGTGGGTGTGCGGAAAAGTAACGCCCCACACACGTTTGTTTGACATTCCTTAGATATGAATGCCATCAACAGAATGAAGCACACAGCAGGGTTTAACATTAAAATGGAACTAAATAACTAAAACAATCATGTAATATTGCTCCCAATAAAAGAACTCGACACTTGACACTTGAATATTAATATAATTTAAACCGTTGCTGCAAAGATATGCTATGTGTTACTAATTAGCATATTTATTGTCTTTTACAAAGTAATACAACTTTTAGTTGAAGTGTATATGTTTTATAATTTCACTTATAAACATATTTTAAAATTTTATTTGCAGCTTACAAATTGAAACAAAGTTGTTATATTTTGAAATTCTCAAAAGAACAATTGTACTGATATAAGCCAAAAACATCACGTTCTTATGTCTAAGATATATGATAAAATTTATCACTTTAGATAAAAAAGCCAGATGATATTTTAGACCATGTAAAAGTGTTGCAGAAAGGCGTAGCAGAGTCCATGGTCCCTGTTGTTCAGGAGGTATTCTTAGACTTTTGTTTCACATTGTACACTTAAAATTAATACTTCAATTAAAACCATGGAAAATTTTGCTCGCGTGTTTAATGGTGTGCAAATATATTCCATATACTTTTGTTACGAAACTTAATGTTTTGAATGTTTTGAATTGATCGTTGTGAAGCAGAAATCTATTGAGATTAAAGTGAAGTTTAAGACCAAAAGACTATTAGTTTTTTTTGTTTTTTTATTTGTGTATGAGAGATAATGATAAGTGTAACATATCTGAAGCCCCCTAGCGCGGGTGGTATTCTATACCATACTCTTCACGTATTTGAATCAATGATTACGGAGAACAAAACAAGAAAACCAAACTGATTTGAAGGCTATCTTTAGGCATTGTTGAAGTTTTTATGATATACTAAGGATGCTTTTGATGATTAAATATACTGAGATTAACCTAAACATGAATATATAATTAATGTAAATCCGATAAAAAGAACAGCCCTTATTTAGAAGCAAACTGTTTGAAGGAATTAATATTACTTATGTGTATAGCTTTCATAACGAAGTGCTTTTTAACAGATATATAAAGATCATTTGTTCAATTGTAAAAAATATTACACATGTTTGAACAATTTTGGTATCATTATGTGCCTTTTTATTTAACAATAAAAATAAATACATGATATATATTAAGCATAAAAAAACAACATCTGACAAAAATAGTACTTAAGAATAAAAATAATATTGATATTACCTTTATTTTTAGGCTTATATGACAGCAAGTTGGGTTGATGGAATATTTACACCAGAACTGGAATCTTTTATACAGAAATGTGTATTTCTGTGTTGGATGATGGTCGTTCAGTCTCCAGCAATGTGTTTCCATCAGATTGATGCTTATGGATCTACCGATTTCGATAAGAACATGTACAAGGAATATACTAAAAGTGGGGAACTGGTTAAATTTGTTGTTTGGCCGGCGTTACTGTTACACGAGAAAGGCAGTCTTATGTGTATGGGTATTGCACAGGGAGAAAACATTTTTTGACATTTGTCAAAAGGAAAAATAACTTTGAATCAAGAGAGCAAATTTTACTGTAAAACAATATGTGAAATTGAATAAATATTACTTGGATTCTACATTGACAGCATGTACAAATAAGCACTTTTTGCATTGATCTTAATAGAAAACTTAAAAACGACATATTCCTGTAAATAATTCATCATAGTTTTTCTCCATTTCTGTCCCGTCTTTTTGGATAATTTCGAAAATATATTCACCAGACTACATTTCTGAGAATAAGAGAAGCATGTTCCCTTGCACATTAGATCAAAGCAAAAGTAGGTTAGATGACTACTTGTATATCATTTTGAGGAGGACAGGTTTATTTTCTATCAATATGGTGGAAATATTATAAGTACTACATACGTTAATGAGAACCAGGTTTGGTATAGTATTATTCAAAGTTATAAGTTTAAAACAGTTGAAATCGTGAACTCATGAAGTTGAAATCGTGAATTCGTGCAGTTGAGATGGTTAATTCACAAGTCGAATTCGTGACGTTAAAATCTGGAATTTGTGAAGCTGAAATCGAGAATTCCGTATGTTGAAAACGTTAAAATTGTAAATACAGGAATTCATGAAGTTGAAATGGCAATACTGGTCTTTCATACAAACTCGTTGTTAGTCTTGCAGCTTCAATCTTTTAATATCGCCGTTCCTGGACGGCGAAATATACTATTGACAAGATTTAAACAGTTCTACCTGTACACTGCCGGCCTTCAGCCAACCAAAGCAAATAATTCAATATCACATGATAACAAAATGGACGTCAAACCGCCATTTTTTGTCTGGTTACTTATCCGTACAACTAAAAAATACCATAAATGATTATCAATGTACGAAGTGACCATGTACCAGTCTTTAGTCTCATATGCAGGATAAACAACTTTTTTTTTACATATCGTTTTTGATTAGACAATGTAGTCTAATAAATAATATATTTTGTTTCTTTTCAAAACTTGCACTTAAAGAAAAAAACTTTATAAATGCTTTCTTCCGGGCGAGTTTAAATACTGTGAGTGTTGTTATTGCATCATTTTTGCCGTTCCTTCCTATAAAATAGCAGGTCAGTTATAGTCTGTTTCAGAAAAAAACTTTGCAAAGCAGTCTACGGAGTATATAACGTAAATTCCATTTATTAAATGTTCACAGGCATTGGGTGTAATGTGTAGCAAGAAACTGTTGTTAATTACACAAGAAGCTATTTTTTGCCGATAGATGCACTTATTAAGTAGCGAATGTAGTCTAACTAATTGTAAATATACTACAAGTCAAGTTATTTTGATATTTTTCTCATGGGCAATAATGAGTATCTCCTACATTCTGACCCAGCAGAATCTAACTGAGCGCGTCAAAATATTTTGACAGGAACGGAATGGTATAGTAAATTAAGTATTTTGGTTGGCTTTAAGTGTTGACCACATACAATTAAGTATTAGGCAAGAAATGAAATATTATTTCTATATTCATGGTTGAACGGCGATGCCAAGCATTTTTGAAATGCTAATACTTGTTATTCTTTATGCCCTACGAACATTTTAAGTCGTAACAGAAAGATGCAACAGCGTAAAGGCCCGGTCACACAGCCCTCCACGTATCGCGGCCGAATAACGGCCAAAAATTTCTGCCCGTGAAGCAGACGCTGTTGGACGCTTTGAGGTCGCGATAAAGACGCGATACAGCCGTACTTTACCTGTCGTTACACGCGGTAAGAAATTCACACGCGGTTGGCCGCGCGAAAAAGTTTTGGGCTGCCCAAAAATTTAGATCGCGGGTAATCGCGGGCGGTACGCGTGGTACACACGCGGTAAAGACGCGGTACAGACGCGGAACGCACGTGCTAGGACGTGCTACGGCCGCGGTTAAGACGTGGTTAAACGCGGTAGGACGCAAAATTTTAGCGGGTAATCGCGGGTGGAGCACGGTCATAGCACGTTTGTTACGCGTCTGTACCGCGTTGTTATCACGTGCATTAGCGTGTGTACCGCGTGTAAGCACGGACAAACGCCTTTCTCCGCGTAAACAGCGCGCCCCAATACCGGCCTAATCACGTTCAATTTCGTCTTGTACACGTCCCTAATACGATTGTCAACGGCCTAATCGCGTACGTACAACGTCTGATTTTAGGTATATAAATAGCGCGATTTGCCGAGCATTCGTCAGTTGTACTCCAGACGTCAAGGAGTGAACATGGATCCCCGTCACCGTAATGACCTCGTCTTGCTGCTCCAGCAGCATCAGAACCAAGTGGTACAGGTCCATCAGCTCCTCATTGACAGAAGAAGACGAAGGAGGAGGAGGAGGGTGGTCCGAAACATCTGGGTGCGCGACTGGATTGGCTCGACGTGGGCTTCTTCTTCGGCGCCATAACTTGATCTTCACGGGACTGTGTCTTCAACGGTTATGATTTCTACAGCCCGGTTCGGCTGCTTTATTATACCCGTGGTAGGCTGCGGTACCGCCGCGCTTCACTCGCGATAAGGACGCGGAACAGTCGCCGGCGTCTGTTCCGCGGGCATACCACGGGTAAACCGCGGGTAAGCCAATTTTGCACATTTTCCACCACGGGCAACCGCGGGCAAAAAATCGCGAAATCTTACCCGCGATACAGACGCGAAAGGCTGTGTGACCGGGCCTTAAGGAAAGAACTGGCTTCACGCGTGGAATTGATTCGAACTTGCGACCATCCGCGTGTAAACGTTAATAACAATGAACAATGCTCTAGACTGAGCCTAGTTTTGAAGGCAGATACACACTCAGTTGTAATAAATGACAATAACGTATTGCATTTTACTACGTATTAAGCATTTTGCTCTTCTACTAGTTTGTGATAAGTTTGCGTAAAATATCTTCAATTTAGCACAATGCTACATGTAACAGTTTACTGTTAATGCAAAAGGGGTAAACATGATATTACAAAAGTCAAAAGCACGTATGAGATTCCAATTGACAAGTAAATTACTTGACATTTCTTTCTACTCTTGCAAAGTTGGTAGGTCCCTTTTGACTCTGTCGTACCCGATGCTGGGAGGCATATAGGGTAGCTTGCAATGACTATTTCCAACAATGGCAATTTCTTTCTGCAACCTTTTTAAAATAATTTAAATGGTTCATGTACTGCACGGCAGTTTTGATGATTTATAAATGACGTGTTGCCCATAAATTTAGAATAAAAAAGGAACTTCATCTGATAAATAACCGCAATTTCAAGGTTATTTTTCTGCTGTGTTATACTTGAAAGTGTTACTTCAGTCCAGGTTATTTGTAGATATAAGGAATTAATGTTACACTTTAATAATTGATTTCAAAACAACTCAGATACCCTTATAATGTATTTAAATATAAAAAAACAAGACGGTAAAATAAGGTCACCAGTCAACGTAAACTTTTTCAGTGAAGCTGAACTCCTATGTGATAAGTAATACCAACTATTTCGTCTGTATATAACATTTGCATTTTCAAACATGAACATTGTCTGAATAACATTAAGTGAATGTCATCTTTTGACTAAATCTTAAAACAAAGGAGAGCATAAGATCCGTGCAAAGCACAATACAATTGTAAACACTTTCAAGCACAACTATAAGGAAAAATACTGACTGGATAGCATTTAATTTAAAATATTTATATCTTTGATGACGAATGTTTTCCTTACAAGAGACAAAATACATATGTGCATGCCATTCATGAAGTTCTTTCAAAAAATAACTTTTTAATCAAACATTTCTAGATCCAGGGTTTTGTTTAAAATGAATTAAGCTATATATCTTCGTTTGTTATTTCCGAAATCGTTGTTTGAGTCTTGAAAAAGAGTAATTTCAAAATTCCTGTATGAATGAACTATGTTATAAATGTCCTTAAGCGTGAGATGTGCATGTAAAAATTCTTTGCTCATCGATTAAAACCCTTATTAAAATAGCAGTATAAAATTATGTTCCAGAACATTTTCTTTCTTATTACCTGCAATATTCCTGTTTGTTAAGTAACAGAGATATTTCATGTCACACTTATTTTGAGAATCGAAACTTATGGAAACAACATTTACCAGTTATACATTTTCTAAAACAAAACTCTTAAGATACAGCTTTTTACAATTTAGGCCTTGAAATGGGTACATGTGTTTTGTGAAACAATAAACAATGTATCAAAGAAGTGATGTGACCTCATTTCAATTACATTTTTCCAATATCAAATTACAAAACATTATAATTTAACATCATTATCGGTTCGTAAGCTTTTAAGGTTTTGTATTTTATTCACATCTGTCCTATAATTTATCAGAACGAATTACAAAAGAGCGTGTTAAAGAAGATCTACGCTTTTTTTCATTGAAATAATAAAATGTATGGTTTTCTTGAGAAAGATTGTTCGTTGTTAGTTACGTATGAACCGGAATACATTCCGACCTTTCATGAGAGAGTTTGTGTTGAGCTAATTATAATGTATTTGAGACTATTGTTATGCAGTTTTATAAAAGATGCTATCCAAGTGGTTTCTTATTGAAATTACTAATCCATCACACGATTCTGCATCACATATCACATCAGTATGAACTGAACAACAGAAAACAAACAAAACTCTTATGTCTGAATGACAAAACGAAAAAAAATGTCTGCAAATGTATAAAAGACTATAAATCACTTTTTCCAATATAAAATTACAAAAATCATTTTGATAGAAGTGTGACAACTTGCTCTATGAAATTTATTTTAGTATATCAATTACATATAAACGATGAATTGCTTAGGCCAATTAGCAAAATAATATCTAAATGCAGATCTGTAGGCTATCTATAAAAAAAACGTTTTAAGACAAATGATAATAGATTAGTTTACTTTACTTTCATATTCCATTATGCAAAACCCTTATAATAGCATTACAAGTGTGGTACAAAAGGGGAAAAATCAGCTGACCCTCATACCTTATTGTCATACCTTCTTTATCTTTTAAGCTTCAATCTGATATACTAGCAAAAGGTGTGCGCCTTTATTTCAAACACTTCCTTCATGTCTTACACCAGTGAGATACATTAAAATATTTCAAGTAACGTGGAAAGACATTTCTCATGGAAATGACGTAGTTTCTTATGAAGGCTTGTGGAATAGAACAAGGGATTGCTCGAGTTCCAGCAAATTGCCACCATGATGCAGAAATTGATATAAAAGATCTCATAAAATATATAGCCAACGTTGCATCAGTCACCAAATTTGATAAGCTGCGAAAATTTATATGAGATTTGATTGCATTTTCATGGACATTTACTCGGCTTTGCATCGAGGTAGTATACCAGTTCTTAGGGTTGACAATATCCACTATCTCCCCGACAGGCTTTTTCCATTTTATTTAATATACACTTTATGATGTCGTATTGGAAAGTGCAAAAGGGTGGCATTAATGATTTGTTTTCATTTCTGGTTCTGGTGTGAATCCCGACAGGGACTTTGGATCCTTTCATGTAAGGAAGCTATAAAGCTAGCTTACGGAACGTCGTTGGTTCTACTCAGGTGCCCATTCCTGCCTGAAATAATGCACGGAAGGGCACCTGACGTTTTTCTCCACCAGTAAAGCTGAAACGTCGCCATATGACTAATACTGTGTCGTCGGTGTGACATAAAACCCAATCAAACAAACAAACCTGTTCTGGTGCTTACAACACTACAAAATTATATTTCAACATAAATAATCATAACGTGTCATACCTTGGGTGTTTGATTTAAGATGGTTTATAAACAATAAAATAGACATGTATGTTATAATCTTGAAAGGCACTTGCAGTTATCAAAAGCATGTTGTATAAGTCGCTTGTAAACTGACAAGGTGTTAATTTTCGTTTCTAAACATTGGTAACCAGTATGCAAGTGTTTTTAAGTTATGTTGTTGTGTGCATCGTATGTTAAATTTTTTGCATAGAAGCGCGACGTTTTATTGTCATACATATAGTATAACGTATTTGAATTATCGCACTATATTTCAGAAAGTTTACATGTTCACCAGACAGATGTGCCAGTTACAGGCATTATGATTTGATATAACACCTCCCGTGAGATTCATCTTTCCAGAAAGTGCTCTTGTTAAATGGTTGACAACTCAACATCCCTTTTTTTGTTTTGTTCTGTTTACGTTTTGCTACGTTCATTAGAAATCATT